TTTCACGAAACTTAGCACCACACATCATTCTAGACCTAATTCATTACGCTATGCCGTATTTCGTGCAAATCGAAAGATATATAGGGACTTTGGTGCACCATTTACTTTAAATCGGACGAAAATATATATGGGAGCTATATCTAAATCTGAATCGATTTTTCCCAATATCAATAGGGTTCGTCCTTGGGCCAAGTAAATGAGCTGTGCCAAATTTCATCCAAATCGGATTATAAATGCGACCTGTACTTTGATTACAATTTAACATTAACAGGCGGACGGACATGCATAAATCGACTCAGAAAGTGATTCTATGCATATTCTCAAAAGGAACCACGGGTCTATCTCGATTCCTTTTGCCTCTTACAAGCATATGCCCAAAGACATAATACCCTGTACCACAGTGTTGTGAAGGGTATACAAATCCACGCCATTTAATGGTCTTTGAAAATATATTTTTTAAAATATCCACGCCTTTTGATAGTCCTTGAAAAAAATATTTTTAAAAAAATGTCCTTCTTTAAATAGCCACCAGAAAGAATGTTTTTAAAAAATCCACGTATCTCCATAGGATATGAAAATCCTTGAAAATTTGTTAAAAAAAAAGTCCACACTAATCTTTGCATTGAAAAATATTTTTAAAAGTTTGTTACACTTCTTAAAAAACATATTTAAAATCACATTTTTGTTAATCCCGGAATAAATCACATTACAAAAAATCCCTGCATTTATCCTTGCGGTACTAAATAAATTACAATTAATTTTCCACTTTGTAATTTAACTTTGAACAAGGATTACAAACAAATTGTTAGGAAATTTCGCCGCCAAAAGAACTCTAATCCAATTACAAAAACTAAATGGATTTTTATGTATGGAAAATTATATAAAACAAATTTCAAAAGCAAGAAAAATAAAAAACTAGATCGCATTGTCCTAGTTTATTTTTGTTACAAGAATATGTTTTGTATTTTTGGTTTGCATTTGCCAAAAAACGAAACTTTGAAGTTCATAAACTTCTTGGCAAAACATGTTGCCAGAAATTGATATATATATATATATATATATATATATATATATATACATATAAATATATATATATATATATATATTTGGTGTATATATATTACAAACATTTGTGTTAACTGTTTTCAAAACCAAACCCAAAAATAAAAAAAAAACAATGACAAAACAAACAATTGTTTGTTACAACAATTTATTTTACTCTCCCTCTTTCGATTTGTTGTTGTGTTTCGTGTTCCTCGTCATCACAAACAAAAATTGGGCCTTATTGTTGTTTACCATACTCGCTAATACATGACTGAGGGTATGTGTGTCTGTGTGTGTGTATGTATGCCTTTGAATGTATGTATGCCTTTGAAACGAAAAAAAAAAACAACAGCAGCTGGATATGGCTGTCGATGTCCTTGCGCCAAAAAACGCTATACGCTATAAAAATGCCTATAAACATAGCGAGGACAAGTTTTCATAACAGACGACATGTATGCCATGCAATGAACAGCGCAGCGCTGCTCTGCCCTGAGTTGCAATTCCATGCCATCCTTCCATATGTCCTTCAGCTGTGCAATGTGTTTCAAGTTATCGTTGATGTTTGCTACTGCGGCTGTAGTTGTTGTCGTTGTTGTTGTTGATGTGATGCAACTATAAAATTGTGCGTTTCGAAATCATCTACAAACAAAAATATAAACAACATTCGTTGAATATATATGTACATATGTATGTATACATATGTGGTTATGTGTGTATGTATCTAATGATGCCCAGTGAACATAACATTGCAAAAATGTGTTTAAGAAGACAAAGAAACATTCATCATTCAAAACAAATTTTGTTCTTTAGTCCTTGAGAAAAAAATCTATACCTTCTGGAGATTTACGCCTACGTAGATCATCAGAAGGCTTAGATCTACGCCTTTTGATGGTCCTTAACTGTTTTTTTAAATATCCACACCTTTTGATAGTCCTTGAAAAAATATTTATAAAAATTCCAGGTTCTTGAAAAAATATTTTTAAGCCAGTTAGCGGAGCAATATAGTCGGACGGGGCCGACCATACGATACCCTACACAACTACGACGGAGTTCTAACTTTCCGCGGATGTTTATTTCGAGCCCGGGCAATATTTCGTGACATTTGCACTCTCTTGCCCGATTAGAGAAACATTTATCATTCAAAACAAATATTGTTCTTTAGTCCTTGAGAAAAAAATCTATACTTTCTGGTGATTTACGCCCACGTAGATCATCAGAAGGCTTAGATCTACGCCTTTTGATGGTCCTTATTTTTTTTTTAATATTCACGCTTGTTGATAGTCCTTGAAAAAATATTTATAAAAATTCCACGTCCTTGAAAAAATATTTTTAAACCAGTGAGCGGAACAGTATAGTCGGACGGGGCCGACCATACGATACCTTACACAACTACGACGGAGTTCTAACTTTCCGCGGATGTTTATTTCGAGCCTGGGCAATATTTCGTGACATTTGCACTCTCTTGACCGATTAGAGGTCAACAGCATCTGACATATTTTCCGAATATTACTATTCATATTCCGTACAGATTCCGTTCGCCGTGGGTTGTGTTGTGATTTTCGGCCTATTATTGGCATCGGCTCGAAAAAAAAAACACAAAAAAACGGTGAGCGGAGCAGTATAGTCGGACGGGGCCGACCATACGATACCCTACACAACTTCCACGAAAGTCTAACTTTCTGTAGTTCTATGTTCTGAGCTTGGGTAATATTTCGTGATATTTGCACCCTCTTGACCGACTAGAGGTCAACAAATATTACTAATATTCATAAGAGCCCTTCTAATTACTTGTCCAGATTCCGATCACCCTTTGTGTTGTGAAGTTCGGCTATCAATTGTGGCCTATAGTTCGACTCGAAATTACACAAACAATTAAATTTTCGGTCCACTTCAGCCCAAAATTATTTTCTGATTATCACTGAAAATTATTGGCATTGTCCTTGACCATACCTGGATCCTCATGAAAAATTTCAAAGCGATCAACTCTATGGGTAATGGGTTATTAAATAATATCTGATAATGGGTTACTAAATAATATCTGAATACCTAACCACCTGTAAATATTTAAGTGTTACTCCCACATCCGAGTACATACGACAATATACTTGGTATCAATTTAAAGGTCAACCACTCCTTTTGGATATATTATCAACTTATCGGGTCTATGTCCTTCAGGGGTAAATCTATACTCTATAGAATAAAAATTTTGTCATTTTTCACACAAAAGACAGGGTCCATTTGACCCGCTAAATATTGACCGATCTTTATCAAAACAGACATGCTTATTCTCTGGCCCGATCCCCTTCTGCATGTAAAATTTCACGATGTTCGGGCAATAATTGCGGCGTCTAGAGCAACCACAAAAACCGACAAAAATTAAGTATTTGGTCCATTTCATCCCCTAAATATTAAACGATCTTTATTATAAACAATAGGGGCCTTCATTGGACTGAACCCTTCCTACATGCAAAATTTCGTGAAGATTGGTCCATAACTGTGGCCTGTATCGTGTTTACAAATTATAATGGACAGACGGACGGACGGATGGACACACATGTCTAGATCGACTCAGCTAGTCAAGATATGACGATCGGTACTTAAAGGTGGGTCTAGGATCAAAATTTCGCGGCGTTACAAACTTTTGGGGCTGCATAAAGGTATAATACCCTGACAACATAGTTGTATAGGGTATAAAAATGCCCTTCTTTAAATATTCACCCGAAAGAATGTTTTTAAGATATCCATGTATTTTTGTACAATTAGCAACCTTGTATTTGTAAAACATCCACGCCTCGTAAATATCCTAGGTCCTTGAAAACATATTTAAAAAAAATTTACATCCTTATATGGTCCTTGAAAACATATTTAAAAAAATCTACGTCCTCATATGGTACTTAAAAACATTAAAAAATACTTCCGGATATGGTCTTTAAAAAATATTTTGAAAAATATCTTGGTTTGGGTCTTAAAATATATATATATATATATATATATATATTATAATCTACACCTTGTTTTGGTGCTTGAAAAATGTTCACGGACATAATTTGTGTCTGTGCTTATTTCTAACACATCTCGTTATCGGTGTGTTTGCTGTATGTTTTTTGGGGGGACATTTGTAACACAAACGTATCCTTCACACTTCAAAATACAACTACAACAACAACAAACAAAACACATTGTATTGTGATAGCTTTAAAAAAATGCAATCGCTTTTCCAACGTTTGGTCATATTTCAATACACAAACACACACTCACCTAACAATATCGATACGTTTAATACTTATAGATAGAGAATAAGCTGACACGAAAAAGAAGAATTTGAAAAAAAAAAACATAAATCGTAATATAAACCACAAAATCGAAGTTTAAGCTGTGCAAAATTAGACAAAATGTATCAAATCACAAAAAGTGCCAAATCAGTGACAAAAACCCGAATGTGGTGATAACAAAAATTTCGGAAAATAAACGAGAAAAAAGTGTAAAAACCCAAAGTAAAAAACAAAGCCTCTTTTCCAAAAACAAAAACACCGAGGTGTTGCTGCGGCTACAAAACGGAAATAGAGCGAGTGCAAAGGCCACAGGGCACACACAACACGGCATTCATTATTTGCGGTTTATTCCAGTTGCATCAGATCCAGTCATCATCGTCGTCGTTAGTTAAATGTGGGAATGTTGTATGCTGATACTCCAGCATCTGTAGAAGAATTTAGCAGCAGCAGCAGATATCCCAAATTTCCATTTCTCCATAGCGTTTCCGGTGGTTTCCCCACTTGCACGACAAATCTTACAGTCACACAGCTTATCCATCTTTGCCCGCCACCGTCTCCTCCTCCTCCTCTTTATCAGCCTCTGCCCACGCACAATCCTCTCTGGGGGATCTCAAACTTTAAGCACTGGACGAGAAGGCCTGCCAGAAACGTGTCCGTGTCATTGACGACAAATTGGCCGCCTAGCAGCAGCATCAACATCAGCCGCCGTCGCATTCCCAGCAATCGGAAGCGCAAGAGAAATCGCGCGATTACCAGCCCAGTAATCCGCTCATTCTGGCAGCCTCACACAGTAGCGACAAGAGCGACAACAACAACTCTGTTAGCGGCAGTGGCTACGACAAGAAATCCTTCTCGTTGCATTGCTGTTGCGTGATAGTCGACATAACGCCAGTTTCACAGGCCGGACGTTTGACTTCGGCAACAACGGCTTCGGGAAGGGATGTAACCGCTGGCAGCGGTGGTGGTGGCGGTGGTAGTGTCTTAGGCGATGGTGTCTCCCAGCTGGCCAGTAGCCTCTTTCGTTTTGGCAGCAGCAAAAAGCGACCGGTCTGTATCTGCAATGCCCAGTGCCGGCTGCAACCGTTCGGTGAGGCCACCCTGGGTCCAACCATAAAAACCCATCATGGTTCACTGGATCGTTTACTGCAGCAGCAGCAACAACAGGATGATGGAGTCCAGCAAAAGCTGTACTCCACGGCCCGTACCATTGGCGGTGTGGTGGGGGAGGGTGGCAAGGATGCCCTCTCCTTGGCCGCCGATTCGGATAATGACATGCTCGACACTGAGAAGTCGGAAAAACCCAGCAAAGAATCCAAATCCGCTGCTGCTGCTGCCGCCGCCCCACCACCTCGGCCACCTTCACGTGGCAAATTCAATGTCCAACAGGTCAAGGAGGAATTCGACAAGGGTGTTGAAGTAGAAAAATTCTATCATCAAATCAACGGTGACATCTTTGAAATAACCCGAAGGGTAAGGGCCCGCAGCAATGAGGATACCATAGAACAGAAGCTTATTAAATCCCGAGATCCTCAAAAGCGTATACCACCAGCTTTACCACCCAAAAAGGGTAGTGGAGAAGCCAGCCATATCCACACACACAGCCACAAGCATGTCCATCATCGACATGCCAACGTTTCCGCCGCAACAGCTGCCGCAGCTAATGTCGTTTCCTCCGAAGAGCAGAAGCCCCAATTACCACCAAGGCGTCAGAAAAGTGCCGAAGAGGTCCCCGTCTCCAAGGAGGCAACAATAAAACCTTCACCCGATGATTTGGAATGGTTTGATCGCAAGGCCCAACAACGGCACTCCTCGCGGTCAGCGGAGAGTGGTACCGTGCGTGACGAGACCATCGAATGGCTGGAGCGACAACGAATACCCGCACGCACCTCATCCGGCCCGAGTGAAATAACTGTGATGAAAGACGAAATACCCGAATGGTTGCTGGAACATCTGCCGCGCAAACGTTCAGGGGCTATTGAACGCCAACAAACCCCCCAGCAGGCGGACAGTCGACCCAGTACATCTTCCTATGCCAAGGCTTTGAAAGAAGAGCTTGCGGAATTGCTTAAGAAACCCTTGTCACGGCAAAGTTCCGGTCCTGGAGAAATATCTCTGCTGAAATCGGATTTGGTCGAATGGCTAACCAAATCTACGAAAGCCTTGACGTCTCGCGATGAGTCTTCCGCTCCCGTTGCTGCTGCCGCCGCCGTTGCCACACCAAAACCTAGAAGATCACATCACCGACGCAATGGCAGTGGTGACACCCCTCGATCTCATTCCCACGAGGATGATGTTAGCAGCCAACATGCCAGTCGTAAACGTCACTCGCTGGGCTACAGTGAACGCAGCGAGGAGAGTATACCCGACTGGATTGCCTACCCCCTTAGTCGACTGCAGTCCCTAGGTAAAACCCCTGTAGATAGAAGAGCATCACATCAAAGTTTCATAGAATTGCCACAGAAATCATCAGTCCCGCCCACACAAACCATCAGTCACACGCAGCAGCAGCAACAGCAACAAATATGTAGTGATCGACGCTATCAGGAACAACGAATTAAAGAACGTCGCCTCCGCCACTCGGCTAGTGAAGTCGTCACCGTTTCCACACCCACGCCGGCCACCCCCAGCAATGTAGAGCGGCTATATGCCAAGCCGCACAAAGAACGCTATCAGTATATACCCAAGGATGAGCTGATACCACCCCAGCTGCCACCCAAAATGAGCAAATCGCGAGAATCAAAACGTGAACGCTCCCGACGCCACCAAACTCAACGGTCGGCCACCATATCTGATATGTCGGCCTCCCACAATGGCCTCCTAAAACGTAAATCCTCGTCGGCGGAGCGGGCACCACGCTCGCCCTCACCCTGTACAGATCCACTGTGCCCCCTGCTGCCCATTTGCACCGATCCGAATTGCCGCTACTTGGAATGCCAGCCGCTCGGCCAACGAAAACAACCATCGACCACGTCTTCGACGCTAAATCTTCTGCGCAATCAACAGTTGACGAAAGCGCAAATGCACACAGTACCTCCATCCGATGATGGTGCTGCTACGGCTGGCGGCCCACCAACGCTGTCCACAGCACAGCCATCGTCGTCCGCATCACAAAAAGTGCCGCCCGCTCAAAGCCAGCCGAAGCGCAAATTTGTCATTTGCCATGACTGTCGATACTGTGCTCCCCTGAGTTGTCGCAACCGGAAGTGCTTGAATGCTCCTAAATGTAACTCACTGCCTCGCTGCGCCGCCGACTTCAATCGGCTGCGCACAACCCTCACACAGCCACCTGCCTCACTGTACGATACGGATTTGGCGGCGACTGCGGCCACGATGCAAATCGCCCAGTTGGACGAGCAGATGACAACGGCGATGGCCGCCACCAGCTGCATCGGCGCTGTCCAGCCGTCGTCGGCAATTGCCTTAGCCGGGCCACGCAGCAGCTCCCAGCCGAATACCCTGCAACGCGGCGAGTCCTGTGCCTTGCTCTATACCCAACCCGTTGTAGCCAAGAGAAAACACCAAAACGGCCATGCCATCATCAGTGGCAGCAATGGCAAACTAATCAAATCCGCCTCGGCCGTATCGCTCGACGAGCGTCGGCGTCGCCACAAAACCGTACATTTCGGCGAAAATCTATTACGCGAAGTCTGCCAAAATCGTAAACTTATCAAATACGAACAGCAAAAACCGTCCGGTTCGCAACCCAGCCAGACTAATGGTGAACTATTGTATAATTTCGTCGAAGGTGTGCTGAGTGCATGGCACGACGACGACGATGAAGATCAATTGCGTTCGGGTGCCGAGTCGGAACCTGAACACGGTACGATGGCGTTGAAGCCATTGCACCGGTACGATGTTGTTCGATATCAGGTGATAAAACGTGTCGTTAACGAAGCGGCCGAATTGCATGGGACATTGCATTTGGGTAATTCGCGATTTCGTCATCGGCATTGGCGTAGTACGGCAAAACAATGTAATGAATTGTTTTTGCGAAAGGTAAGATTTTGGAAAGGGGTGTTTTTCAGAGGGCGGGAAAATGGTATAAAGTGACATGGTGCTCTACATGTTCGCATATATTCATATTGGTATTTATTGTTCAATTTCGGGAATAAATTCACCCGGATTTTTTGATTCGTATAATTTTGTGTATGCTTCGATTGGACCTTAGCTAAGAGTTTTAAATAGATTCCGCATATAAAAAATCTGTTCACTACTTACCTACTACTTATCAGATTAGCCTTAGAGGTTACTATTAAAGACCGATGGATGTCATAGTGATTGACTAGATATCAATGCCACTACCATGTACTTGCTGTCCCAGATGGATATTATTTTACAAGTACCGTACAGAATCAATCTAACGAGAGAACTTAGCTTAAGAGGCCATTGCTACCGCATATCTGGCTTCAGAGGATAAAATTAATGCCCAGCAATTATCCGCATCTGCTACTATATGAGCTATATACGCCATATACCAGCTGTCCTCAGAGTTGGACCAATAGAGACATCACTCATTGTGACCAAGAGATTCGAAGACTATTTGGTATTTTATGCAATATATGTAGATTATTAGATATTCCTGGTTTTCGGATCAGGGGCATTACTACCGTCTTAAAGGGAAATTGTTGTAACGAAATCCCCACAATAATATTACCTTCTTCGCAATTAGTCTTAAAAATCTGGCAAGATAACTCATCCTGGAATCCTGACACAAATGCCAATTTGAAATAAATTTTTGAAAAAGAAAAATGCAGCCATTGAAGTTATTGATGGGAAGCCATTCAATGACAACAACAAAAAAGTACTGACCCAGAGATGTAAAGCCATAACACTGATACAACAACACGTGAAGTGATGCTATTTATTACAGCAACAACAACAACCAGAACTTCGACGACCACAACAACAAATGGCGCAACGAAATCACTTGTCCCAGCATCAAATGCTTGATGGCGGAACAGATAAAATGCTCATTGACTTTTCTTTCGTTCGTTTCCTCCAGCCCCACTCACACACACACACACACACATTTTATACTTCGTATTTGTTGTTGCCGTTGTTGTGTTTTGTAGTTTTCTATTTACTCTCAGCGAGCAATTCATTTCGAATCCACTTCATGCCATGAAGTCGACTCAATGCAACCAACCAGCCATCAGAATAAACTTTAAGCTGGGCGAAACATAAAAATGCTTTTTATTATATTTGTATAAATGGTTGTCGGTGTGTGTGTCTGTGTGTGTGTAGATCCCATGATCGGGCATGGAGATGGGGACCTGGGGTGTAACAAATAGATATGTATGGCAAGAGTACTAAGTATCTCCAAAGAAGTATCCTTAAAATGTTCCATTTGGTTGGATGGTTGGTTCGTTGCTGCATAGCTGCTAGTTCGTTCGCTTGTGGTTATTTCGAAAAGTACCTTCACAAAATACATCCGGATTGAATCGAAGAATCCACCAATACCACCACATCAGCGGCACCATCAGCAGAACTAAACCCTGATGCTGGGCCAGGGCAACAAAACAAGTGCAAAACAAAAAGCGGAAGCACTTTCATTTCAATACAACTACTGTTCTGCAGCCGAACAACTAACTAACCATCCAACCAACCAGTAAGGCAGTCAGTCACTCAGCAACAACCAAGCAGCCTGTCTGCCAGCCAGCCAACCATCCATACCTCCAACCGAGTTTGGGAATGCAGTTTGTACCCAACTGCCTGGTGCAATGTTTATTTCTGGCTTCATAATGAGATTAAGTTGAACTGAACTCCATTTTTTTTCTTTTGCCTTGTTCGCCAGTGAGTCAGTCAGTTGTGTTGAGTTTTCATTACTTCTGCTTGATTGAGTCCTCAACAGATGCCAAAGGAATTCTGTCGGCAACTAAAGCCAGCCAGCAACCCAATTCATCCGCATACACCGCCAATATTTTCCATAAAATCGCCACACCACATAGAAAACAAAGAAGAAAATCATGTTGTTGTTGTAGTTTTTCCTCATCATGATGGTGGTTCTCAATGGGGAGAACTTCAATAAATACAATAACAATAAGGGAAACAAGTGAGGAAGTCTAATATCCGGCGTATAGAAGGCGTTCTACATCATACCACTCCAGATATGGACATAGTCTCCTGGCTTAAAACCTGCTGTAAAAAATGGGTTTTCTATAGAAGATCTAAGGGTCTTCCTATAGAAGAGCTAAGGGTCTTCCTATAGAAGAGCTAAGGGTCTTCCAATAGAAGAACTAAGGGTCTTTGTATAGAAGAGTTAAGGGTTCTCCTATAGAAAAGCTAAGAGTCTTCCTATAGAAGATCAAAGAGTCTTCTCTATACAGACTACCTATGGAAGACCAACCGGCCAGAATAGCTAAGGGTCTTCCTATAAAAGATCTAAGAGTCTTTGTACAGAAGAGCTAAGGGTTTTCCTATAAAAGAGCTAAGAGTCTTCCTATAGAAGAGCTAAGGATCTTCCTATAGAAGAGCTAAGGGTCTTCCTATAGAAGATCAAAGAGTCTTCTCTATATAGACTACCTATGGAAGACCAACCGGCCGTCCGACTGGTCTACCAATGGATCCTTCTTATAGAAGACCAAATGCACTTCCTAAAAAAAACAAATACTTTTTCTATAGCATACAAAAAAAACTTTTTATAGTCTACCTACAGACGTCCGAATTGCTGTCTTATATAAGACCAAATGTTCGTCATATATAAGGCCAAATGGTCTTCCTAAATTAGCGAATTAATCTACCTATGGAAGAATTCCTCTACGGGTATATGACATGATAAGTGAACTCTCTCCCCGGCTGACTCAGCTTGGGATCAATTGTAGTACCTACTTATGCTTGGTACTCACGTTGTGGTTTCTTACGACCAGCTAAGCAATATAGTGTATATTTCTAAATCTCAATTATATAGTAGAGACATCGAAGGTCACAGCAATGAACTTTTACGTCAATGGTTCTATCATTGTGGTCTCTGAGATCCATTAGTCTACAGTAGTAACATCTATGGCCAAATTAACTGTAGCACTGGTCTTTAAATTTAGCTAATCTATAGAATGGACTATGGGTCTATGGTGAAGACTCTGGACTTAGATACCGAACATTATAGGAACCAGGCAATATCCTGATAATGGATTTGATAGACACGTTTACTGGAGCTTTAACTTCTGGTCTTTTAATAACCGCACAGTTTTTTTAAACTCCTGGTTTCGACTTGTTCGGCTATAGAGATACATCGGAGGTCACCCATTATACACCAATGAACTTTTACGTCAAAGGTTCTATCATTGTGGTCTCTGAGATCCTTTAGTCCCCAGTAGTAGCTTCTATGTATCTTCTAGTGCTGGTCTTTAATGTTTGCTAAGCTATATAATAGATGGGTATATGGCGAATCCTGATAATACCCATATATTGGTTTCGATAGACACGTTTATTGCAGGATGAACAGAACATTAACTTCTGGTCTTTTAATAATTGCGCAGTTTTTTGTAAGCTCCTAGTTTCGACTAGTTCGACTATACCCGATTTGGAAGTAGATTTCGTGGCATATATTCGATATATTCGAAGACTCCGAAGTCTTAAGTGGATAGCGTATAGTTGTGCCCAATGAGGCTATCTACACTATAGTAGTAGCCAATGAGTCCAACCAGTAAATAGAGGTCAGAGGCCATCTGAGGTCAACCAGCACACTGCTTTGTGCTTAGAAGTCAGCTTGTGGCATCGAAAGCCAGCTGCAAGCCTATAATAGTGGTCACTGAGATCAGCACATAAATGTGTCTCTCATTAACTGAGGTCTATGAAGGTGACAATTCTTGTGGATTCGATTCCCAATTGGGTATTGTTGCATATAAGCCCGACTATGCTATTGTTGTGAGCTCCGAGATCAACTAATTTATAGTAGTGAAATTCGAATTGAGTAACGGCCTCGATGTTCAGCTATTAGTGACTTCAGATATCACCTATTTTATAGTTGTAGTCTGCAATTTCTGGGGGCAGATATGAGCACTTAGGTCAGATAATTTCTGAAAACTACGAATCTGAAGTAGTGGGTTCGGAAGCCAGCTAATCTCTATAGTATATAATACTGGCTTCGAAGGTCACCCAGTTAATAGTTGTAGACTATGTTTCCTGATATTCTTTAAGTGTGATCTCGGAGAACAGTAATGGTATCTGATAATCTCCGAAGATGGCAAATCTGGAGTATTGAGTTCGGATGTCATCTAATCTCTATAGGTGTAGCATATATGCTCCACTATATTATTGCTGTGGGCCTCGAAGCCAACGAGCTTCATGTAGTAAACTCAAGTGGGGCTTCCACTGGCAGCTAGTAGAGGCTTCGGTATCCTGCTATCTACAAAAACAATACCAAAGGGCAGCGAATACATATTTGTAGGGTATGAGACCAGATAATATAAAGCGGAGGCCTCAGTGGACCAATACCTCTATTGTCGAAGGTTATGAACCTAGTATATAAAAGTGCTCTCCGAGGCTAACAATCACTACTATGGACCCCAGAAGTGAGCTAATCTCTATAAGGAACTAGTAATAGCTTCGGAGGTCATACGCCAGAAGGTCTATTGCTTTAGCCTATGACGCACAGCTTGTTTATAACAGTATAGTACTCTGAAGACGCCGAATCTATAGTTGTATGCCAGTTAGTTTGTATTGTTATAGCCTATAAGCCCAGCCAGTATAAAGTAGTGGACTGCGAGGATACATTTTCTATAGTAGTGACCTCTGAAATCTGCTATTCCATAGTAGTCTTTGTGCTCCATTTAGTTTGTAGCAGTGTTCTCGAAACCATCTACTTTTTTCAGTGGGTTGTTCTAAAACTGACCTCTAAGATCCAATATATTTCCCTCTTAATACAAACACTTAATAGAGTGTCCAAGGCTCCGAACGATGATGCTAGTCGGTCGTCTAGTTGGCGACCACCCAATCAAAACTATAAATAAGCGATTTTTTATTAAACCCTAAAAATGTATTCTTATTAACCACCTACAGGTGATACAAATCATTGTTGAAAAATAAAAACTATCCTCTCGGCATATAGTGCTGCAGGATATAACAAGATTGAGTTTGCAACAGGATGTCCATCAGAAAAAGCGGACGAAGAAGAAAAATAAATTCGCTTATATTGGAATTGGTACTGTTAATGCTAATGCTCTTTTCCGTTTCTCTTCCTTTCCTTTTCTTTCTCTTTTCTCTTCCCTTTGTTTAGATTTCCGACGATGACCGCATGAGTTTAACTACAGCCGTATCGGATGAAGATGATGGCGAAAGTGTCATGGCGTCACCATACAAAGCAAAAGCAACTGGAACGGCGGCATCTTCATTTAATTGTACAGGAGCTGTACGCAAAGCTGGGTAAGAAAAATACAACTTCCATAGTTTCGCTATTTAAGCACCTTAAATCTCATTGATTTGAGGACGATTTATCTCTACCCCTCCCACACACAAATTTATTTCCGTTTATTTCATTCTCTTTTTTTGCATTTTGTTTCTGTTTCGTTTCATTTCAGTTTCCTGTCGGTAAAGAAATGGTTATTGCGAAAGAAACATCAAATCGAATTAGCCCGTAAACGTGGTTGGAAGGGTTATTGGGTGTGTCTTAAGGGCACCACACTGCTCTTCTATCCGTGTGACTCGCGTGAGGGTCGCAGCGTCGAGGCGGCTCCCAAACATTTGATTATCGTCGATGGTGCAATAATGCAGCCAATACCCGAACATCCCAAACGTGATTATATCTTCTGTTTGAGCACAGCATTTGGCGATGCGTATCTGTTTCAGGCTCCATGCCAGGTAAGCTCATTAAAATTAATTCTTTTTTTGTCTTGCATTGAAAATGTAACGCAGGAGCGGCAGATGTTGGTGAGAGGAGATTGAGTAGGTGAATGGAATACCAAGCCCATGTAAAGCAGCTGAGTGTGTGTGTTTGAATGTGAATGGCAATGAATGTGTGAATATGTTTAAATGGGAATTATGTTTAAAAGCATAAAATATCCTCCGAAAAGAATATCGAATCTGAGATTAGAGTTGGGCAATTTCGTGTGTGTAGAGGTTTGATCGACAAAAGAAACTAGTTCATTATCTTGGTTGCATAGTTTCTTTTAGTTCAATCGTTCTTTGGTAGAGGTATATAAATTCGGTCGATGAACTGAAAGATCTAGATGAACGTTTGTGTCATAAGGGACTAGGTAAAATAAAGTGAAAAGGAACGACTGGAGCAACAGGAACTAAATGAACGACAACACCAGACCTAGCACCGATCGTTCCTTTTGCAGAATAGTTCATTTGACATAACTCTTCCTGAAACATATGTGATATTAAGGAACTAGGCAACACCATGACCCGATGTGTGCTTCAATCTCGTGTAGTGTCAATGGCTGCTAATGGTCCCTGGGACAAGCTATTCTCAGTAGTGACATGTGAGGGCAACTCCAACTAAAAGATCATATAGGAACCTATCTTTGTTTCATCTTATCCCACTGTACTTTTCCCTGAGCTCAGCTAATCTAGAACAGATGATTCTTAGGCCAGCTACTTTACATTAGTTGCCTCTGAGATCAACTTCTTGGTAGTAGTATCTTCTGAGCTCAGCTACTCTACAATAATGTCTTCACAAAGCAACTTATATATAGAAGTAGACTTCGAGGTCAGCCGTAATGTCAATTAAGGCTAGTATTGACATCTGAGTTTAGCAAAATGGATCTAGAGAATGGTTCTCAATATTATCCATGCTAAAGTTGTACACTTTGAGTTCCTTAGGGATCACTAGGTAGATTCAACCTACTAGCAACAAATGGTTGAACGAGTTTTCCCCCTTTTTTCACAGAATGGCGCCCAACGAATAGCTTAAAGCTATTTGAGGTTTTTTCCCTAGTTGCCTCTGAGATCAACTTCTTGGTAGTAGTATCTCCTGAGGCCAGCTACTCACAAAGCTACTTATATAAAGAAGTAGACTTCGAGGTCAGCCGTAGTGCCAATTAAGGCACTGAGTTAAGCGAAACGGATCTACAGAATGATTCTCAATCTTATCCATGCTAAAGTTGTGCACCTTGAGTTCCCTTATGGATCACTAGGTAGATCTACCATTCAACCTACTAGCAACAAATGATATTTACTAAATACCTGATATTAAATAGGGATCTCTAGGTTGAACGGGTTTTCCCCTTTTTTCACAGAATGGTGCCCAACGAATAGCTTACAGCTATTTAAGGTTTTTTTTCTGAATTTTAAACATTTTACTATGATCATCGTCGAAAAATGTGGAATCTGCAATACCCTAAATGGAAGGGACCGTTTAATTATTTGAAGCAGGATTTCAAACGATGCTCAGAAAAAAGTCGCAAACAAGACCTGCAACATCATGGAAATAAAGCATCAAAAATTTTATAAGAACTATACTGTCCTAAGCTTCCAAGATTTTTTTATTCTGAAAAGGAGCTATAAGAAATTTATTAAAATGGCGCCCAACGGGTTCTCAATCCTATCCATGCTAAAGTTGTGCACTTTGAGTTCCTTAGCGCTCACTAGGTAGATCTACCATTCAACCTACTAGCACTAAATGATATTTACTAAACACCTGATATTAAATAGGGATCTCTAGATTGAACGGGTTTTCCCCTTTTTTCACAGAATGGCGCCCAACGAATAGCTTAAAGCTATTTGAGCTTCTTTCAGAATTTTAAAAATTTTACTATGATCAACGTCGGAAAATTTGGAATCTGCGATACCCTAAATGGAAGGGAACCACTTAATTTCAGATAATTGGAGTATTTTCAAGCAGGATTTCAAACGATGCTCAGAAAAAAGTCGCAAACAAGACCTGAGCTATACTGTCCTGAGCTTCCAAGATTTTTTATTCTAAAACGGAGCTACAAGAAATTTATTAAAATGGCGCCCAACGGGTTCTCAATCTTATCCATGCTAATGTTGTACACTTTGAGTTCCTTAGGGATCACTAAGTAGATCTATCATTCAACCTACTAGCAACAAAAGATATTTACTAAACACCTGCAACTTCATGGAAATAAAGCATCAAAAACTTTATAAGAACTATACTGTCCTGAGCTTCCAAGATTTTTTATTCTAAAACGGAGATACAAGAAATTTATTAAAATGGCGCCCAACGGGTTCTCAATCTTATCCATGCTAATGTTGTACACTTTGAGTTCCTTAGGGATCACTAAGTAGATCTATCATTCAACCTACTAGCAACAAAAGATATTTACTAAACACCTGATATTAAATAGGGATCTCTAGGTTGAACGGGTTTTCCACATTTTTTCACAGAATGGCGCCCAACGAATAGCTAAAAGCTATTTCAGGTTTTTTCAGAATTTTAAAAATTTTACTATGATTATTTTCGTGGAACGATCATCAAATGTGGAATCTGCGTTACCCTAAATGGAAGGGACCGTTTAATTTTAGAGATTTGGAGTTATTCAAAGCAGGATTTTAAACGATGCTCAGAAAAAAGTCGCAAAAAAGACCTGCAACATCACGGAAATAAAGCATCAAACATTTTATAAGAACTATACTGTCTTGAGCTTCCAAGATTTTTTTATTCTGAAAAGGAGCCATAAGAAATTTATTAAAATAGCGCCCAACGGGTTCTCAATGGTTCTCAATGTTATTCATGCTAAAGTTGTGCACTTTGAGTTCCCTTAGGTTTCACTAGGTAGATCTACAATTCAACCAACTAACAATATATGATATTTACTAAACACCTGATATTAAATAGGGATCTCTAGGTAGAACGGGTTTTCTCGTTTTTTTCACAGAATGGCGCCCAACGAATAGCTTAAATCTATTTGAGGTTTTTTTCAGAATTTTAAAAATTGTATCATGATCATCGTTGAAAAATGTGGAATCTGCGATACCCTAAATGGAAGGGACCGTTTAATTTTAGAGATTTAGAGTTATTTGAAGCAGAATTTCAAACGATGCTCAGAAAAAAGTTGCAAACAAGACCTGCAACATCATGGAAATAAAGCATCAAAAATGTTATAACAACTATACTGTCCTAAGCTTCTAAGATTTTTTTATTCTGAAAAGGAGCTATAAGAAATTTATTAAAATGGCGCCCAACGGGTTCTCAATCCTATTCATGCTAAAGTTGTGTACTTTGAGTTCCCTTTGGGATCACTAGGTAGATCTACCATTCAACCAACTAGCAATAATTGATATTTACTAAACACCTGATATTAAATAGGGATCTCTAGGTTGAACGGGTTTCACCCCTTTTTTCACAGAATGGCGCCCAACTAATAGCATAAAGCTATATGAGTTTTTTTCAGAATTTTAAAAATTTGACTATGATCATCGTCGAAAAATGTGGAATCTGCGATACCCTAAATGTAAGGGAACCACTTAATTTCAGATAATTGGAGTATTTTCAAGCAGGATTTCAAACGATGCTCAGAAAAAAAGTCGCAAACAAGACCTGCAACATCACGGAAATAAATCATCAAAAATTTTATAAGAACTATACTGTCCTGAGCTTCCAAATTTATTTATTCTGAAACGGAGATATAAGAAATTTATAAAAATGGCGCCCAACGGGTTCTCAATGGTTCTCATTCTTATCCATGCTAAAGTTGTGCACTTTGAGTTCCCTTGGGGATCACTAGGTAGATCTACCATTCAACCTACTAGCACTAAATGATATTTACTAAACACCTGATATTAAATAGGGATCTCTAGGTGGAACGGGTTTTCCCCTTTTTTAACAGAAAGGCGCCCAAGAAATAGCTTAGAGCTCTTTGAGTTTTTTTTTCAGAATTTTAAAATTTTTACTATGATTATCGTCGAAAAATGTGGAATCTGCGATACACGAAATGGAAAGGACCGTTTAATTTTAGGCATTTGGAGTTATTTAAAGCAGGATTTCAAAAGATGCCCAGAAAAAAAGTAGCAAACAAGACCTGCAACATCATGGAAATAAAGCATTAAAGACTTTATAAGAACTATACTGTCCTGAGCTTCCAAGATTATTTATTCTGAAACGGCGCCCAACGGGTATTGGTCAAGCGTATTAATTTATATTCGATGGATTTTTGCCTATGAACATTTAATCATAATTGCGTTCAATGTTGACCAGACAATAAACGGCGTCTAAATCGAAGAATATGTTCCAGTAGTAATGGCGCCCAACGAAAGGAAATTTATCTATGTGGGAATCTATGATTTTTGAGAGTAGATGCAGCCATCAGAGTTATGAAGTCAATATTCAATCTCGATTAGAATTAATCACAAGAAGTAATGACAGCCAATGAATATCTGCCCAGAATATTTAATTGTACACCAGAGTCTCAACATGCGTCGTTCCGATTTGCACCGTTTCGACTTGGGACACTTTTTAAAACTAGAATAGATTTTACGTTGGACCGAACTAACATTTTAGCATATTTTCGATTTGCGTAACGTTTCTCCGGAGAACTATTGTATGGATTAACATGGTCCGAGTGATTTTAAAGGTCACTTTAAGGACCATAAGGGTGATGGAAATTTTGTCAACGAGTGTGAATCAATCGTATAAATTTGAAATGGCGCCCAACGGTCGTACAAATATTTAGCAGAACTAATCGATATTGAGCAACCTATTTTATTTCGACCAATTTGACAAGGCCTCGCTGATGTCTGTCCTTGTTCAAAGGATTTCGCAGAATAAATTCCCAGTTTCATATTCTCACAAATTGTTTACATAAGCTCTCTAATCCATGTCATTTGAACAAAGATGACAGCTATCATATAACCACATACCAGTTTATCTGGGGTTTAATTTGCAATATTTCCTTTTTGTGCTGAACATTCTTCACACATTTCTCTCTCTCATAGCCACAAATCCTTATACCAAAAACGTTTAATTATCCAACGCATCAGCCGCATTGTCATCAACGTTGTACTTCTACAGCATTCACAACAGGTGTGGATTACCAAAGTAATAATGTAAATACCCCAAAAAAAACAGCAAAACTGAACCTCCACAAATGACACTCGAACCATTCTATGAAGGAGGAAAAGGTTTCATTGTATAATGCCTATGCAACACTCCGAAAAAACAATCCCGCCAACAAACCAAAAATAAACAATTGTGTTTCAGTCTGTCAGTCAGATAGCCATAGAGTTAGCTGAGGCCATCAACAGCAGCCATGTGAGTAGAGGTAATAATATATCCCTCCATACCAGACAATGGCAGCTATTACTTTACCTGAAATCCAGCTGTAACCTGAAATTCAAATCCAACGAAAAAATCACCAATGAAAAGCATAGACTGAAAAAAAAATTAAAACCACACCTTACCACATTTAAGTGCAGCATAAAACCCTCTTCTTCATATGTCAGGATTTCGTTTTCTTGTATTACAACATGTCGCTCGGTGTGTTTTAAATGAATGAGAGAAGTTGCTTTTGAATTGCGTAAAGCTACCTTGACACAAAGAAGAGTCTGTTACAACAACAACAACCCATCCCAACTGGCCACTTAACGCCATTCATTGCCTGCCAGCTAGTCTCTGACAAGATATGAAATCCAGGACACTGGGAGTCTCTGGCTTTTGAGTGAAGAATTTTTTGGGCGCCACTTTAACTAACTGCTTGAATGGTGGGTGGACTTTTGTAGTTGTTGTTATATTTGCCGAAGAGCAAATTGTTCAGCGCGTGAAATAGCCAATTCGCTTTGAATGGGCACGGACACACACACATATATATGTACATATATAAGTGCTATATTTGTCCTTGTGTCTGTTTGTTTGCATTGCAGCCGATTCATGAATGTTGATCACAGTCATCATTCGCAGCAGCAACATTGGCGCCCAATGGCCAGGAAGGTCCCACACATTCAATGGTGTCTTTTATGCGTCTACGTGTCCTTCTGCATTGCTATGCAAACAACATGGGCAACATAAAGGCTTATTATGCCACACTCATATTTATACGAATACTTTGGAAGCACACACACACACTCACCCACATACCAAACATTTTCCCAAGGCTTAACATTCTTGCAATCATACAACCAAACTCGCTCTCTCTCTCCCTCTCTAGCTGCGTGATTATGTTGCTTGATATGCCACTGTTTGTGTGTGTGTGCGTGACCAATGTAGGCTAGGACATTTCTATGCAAACGCCATTCATTCGCAAGTTCAGTGCTCGCGGCCACAGCCTGGAGGTTCGTTGAATTATATTCCATATGGTTCAGTAATCAATTATTCCTAGATGTTGGATGTTGTTGGCGACCGACACCCCACCTCCGCTTGCAGGACATTGGAACACACCACGTGGCTTTATGAAATGCCAGCGAATGAATGCACACATCCTTACACATCCGCCCGGTACGAGTATTTAAATTACAAGTTGTTGGACAAGTATGATGTTAGCAAACATATCAGCTGATGTTAAATAATGTCATCTTTTGTAAACCCTTACGGCTATCGGTCAAAGCATTTCTATGGCTCTTAAAATGGTTGAATGGAATAACTAATTTTAAAGACCATCATCTGAAGTGATGGGACAACTTTCATTGAAATAGCTGAAAATTTAATGTGCGGTTTGGTTGCAAACTTTGAATGCGAAGGCCACACACATTATGAATGGCGCCCAATGGCATTTTAGTGGAAAGTCTTCAATGGATGCTATTGAAATTTAAGTTTTTTTTTTGGAAAATCAAGGGAACTAAGCTTCCAAGGCTTCTTATTCAGAAATATCAAATGCTAATAGTCATCCATGAAAATTTAGATATATTGGTCCATGAATTCAATGGAAAATTCTATTAAATTCTATGACTATGTGCAGAATTAGTAATGACGACCAACGTATTAGATTGGTGGCAATATATGTCGCGACTTGAATAGCATAATTTTAAAACTAATAGTCGTGAATATTTAATCATAATGGAAATGGCGCCCAACGGCTATCGATTGATAGATAACATGTCTTGAATGGCTTCAATTGTAAAATAGGTTTCACGAATGCCTTCTTTTGAAAACTAATATTGCAGATTTTTAATGTCTAGAGAACTGGAGGCTCAGTTCTAGCAGTCGTCTTATTCAAATACGTTCTTAAAACATGTTTTGAGGCAGAAGAGAAATAATTATTTTAAAGCTGAAAATTGTTATGAACATCGTGTACACCAAGATGTAAACCGATGCTCCAGCTATTCCATAAAAGGTCACATCGGACCTAGCCTATAGGAAGTTTCTTTGCCATCGACTCCATATATAAGGCTGCCTAGACTACAGCTAGGCTCTCTGGGTTAAGATCGCTCTTAAAGGACTTCCAGTTTTCAAATAACCTATACATGTTGACTCGTTTTTGTTCTCGTTTTTGTTTAGTTTTAGCGTTACTTCAAAGCGTTAAGGCTCCCTAGGTTACTATAGAAGGCTCTCTGTATTATATTTCAAAGGACGTGTGTTTTTCAAAATATGTGTGTTTTGGTCCTTGAAAAATATTCTTTACAAATATTCTTTGGTCCTTGAAATAATATTCTTCACAAAATCCACGCCTTGTTTTGGTCCTTGTAAAAATTCTCTTTAGAAAATCCACACCTTGTTTTGGTCCTTGAAAAAATATTCTTTACAAAATCCACACCTTGTTTTGGTCCTTGAAAAAATATTCTTTACAAAATCCACGCCACGACTTGTTTTGGTCCTTGAAAAAAGGTTCTTTACAAAATCCACGCCACGACTTGTTTTGGTCCTTGAAAAAAGGTTCTTTACAAAATCCACGCCACGACTTGTTTTGGTCCTTGAAAAAAGGTTCTTTACAAAATCCACGCCACGACTTGTTTTGGTCCTTGAAAAAATACTCTCTACAAAATCCACGCCTTCTTTTGGTCCTTGAAAAAATATTCTTTACAAAATCCACGCCTTGTTTTGGTCCTTGTAAAAAAAATATCCTTTTGGTCCTACAAAAAATATGAAAAAACGTTCTATAAAAAATTTCTTCCTCGCCCTGCTAATTTGAAGATCTTTAAGAAAATATTTTTTATGTCACTTTAGCTAGATACAATAATGTATTGTTTGTGATCCCCCACACCCACCCCCTTTTTTTAACAATATAATTATATACCACAAATAAAATACATTATATATTTTTTGCCTACGTTCACAGTCTATTCGCCTATCTGGCTGGTTGTCTGTCTGTCTGGTTGTTGTATGTTTTCCAGCTCAGCTGGTTGGTTGATTGCCTTTCTGCTTGGTTAGTTTACATATCCGTTTCTCCTACATGTCGTCCTGCCTGTCTGTGTGTCTCGTTAGAACCTTAGAATGATGCTACAGCTACTGCTTGACATCTGACTGCTATTTAATCAGATGACTGACATGATACGTAAGTGGGTGCATTGTGACTTGTTTTCATGAATTTGAAACAATATTGACAAAAACAAACAAATATACACAAAAGAACAAACGAGGACGACGCTGTAAATGTCATCTTCATGTTGAGCAAAACGAATTGAGGCGGAAGAGTATTTTGTAGTCACCCTGTTGTTTACAACATTAGCTAACTGGCTGGCATCATATGCTCCTGCCTACACACTCACACACACACGCACGCACACATGTTGTCATCACGAAAAGAGGCTAGAGCAGCTAGGTCCTGCCACTTATTTGCAGCCGAGTGTGTAAACACAAAAGCGCCGATGTCGTCCCCCACCCTCCCTCCTCTACTCGATTTTTATGCTCTTTATTCCAACTAATAAATGTAATACATTTTCACATTCATTCGAAAATGTCCTTATCGTATAATCTAAACGCCTTAAGTAGTTATAAACATATACCAACAACATATGGAGAACGAGAGGGGAACTGTCACCGCCTCCTACTCCTCCTCCGTTTCTCTTGCCATGAAGACGATGCAAGGCAACAAAGGCCTGGCCTGGCCTGGATGATGGCATTGCCATGCACATATGACCCTTTTATGCTGGAGCCTTCTCCTTCAGATTCAAAAGAACTAAAGAAACATAAACATGCTGTCAAGTGAGCGAATGAACGAACGAACGAACAAACACAAAAAAACATAACGTCAGATACACAACAAATAGGCGGGGTGGCAAGCAGTAAGGCTGAACGCTGCCACCCACCAACTGGCGCCTTGTCTTACATCCGCTCATAGCAAAAATTCATGGAAACGCTTACAATTGACTTAAGTTTGCATCCTTACACAAGCACAGGCGAGGCGCACACAAACACACACACACCCACAGTCGCAGTTGTGCATCCTTTTAGTCCTTGAAATGAACAATTACATGTAGTATCAGGCCATCCGTAACTAACAACAACAGCCTCGGTCCCTTCCATGTGGAAATGCCTCTGTTTGAATATTACCAGCGGCGGCAATAATGTTCGTGACGATGTCGATGACGACGATGCCACTCTGCTGCACTGAAGCTCATTTTCTGATGAGGATAAGTGGAAAAACAAAATTGTGCATGTGGGAAAATTGTTTTACCATTATGTGTGTGTGTGTGCGTGTCCTCTCAACTCCCTCTCTTTCTCTCTCACTGGCTGCTGCTCCTATATCTATACAAACTGTCATTGCAATCAAATTACCTTCATCGTGAACTTGTTGTAATTTTCTTTTGCCTCTCGTTGCAGGTTGAATTGGAAAACTGGGTTAACAGCATACACAGCGCCTGTGCAGCCGCCTTTGCCAGACATCGTGGCAAAACGGGAACCCTACATTTGCTGCAGGAGGAAATATTCCGCATTGAAAAGGCAATCGAATCGGTAAGTCGAAAAAAAAAAATTATTTTTATTTTGCAATTTTAAAAAAGTTTCAAAAGGATATAAATATAGTTAGATATTAATTGTCCTCAAAAAAATATACATATAACTCTAATCAAGGTCTCCATTAATATATGCTACAAAATAAGTCATGAAGGCTTCCTCTACAAATATTCCCCGTATATAGAGACTATACAAGGAATGTGTATAGAAGTGATGTAATAATCCTCCTTAGAAGGGCTGCAGTGACAGAGCATATTTATAACCTCACCAAAATAGGGAGTATTCCATTAAAAAGCTGAAGAGGCAGATACTATTTTATAAAAGACGAGGGGTCTTCAACAGACGAAAATAAGAAGAGAGAGAGTCTTTAAGAGAGTCTTTATAAAGGGGTTGAAACAGACAGCCCCATCTTTATGGTCGAACAGAAGGACCAGTGAGGCTTTTATTATAGAAGCCTTTATAGGCGAATTGAAGAAATATTAAATTTACAGATCCAGTCTCTAAAGGGGCCATATTTATACATGCAATGGAACCGAGAGTATTTTATAAACGAATTAGGACATTTGTAAAAACGAGTTGACGGCTCAATCTCTATAGGCTATTTTAACATTCAGGGAGTCTGTAATGGTGACGGAAAGAAAATAGACGTGATGAGGCTGGATGGCAAGGAAGCTTTGATAGACGCCCTGAAGTTTCTTGAAATTTTCATAGACTGTGTTGTCTAGGATTTTTTTATAGGTTATGTGCAGATAAAGTAATCTGAAACGCCGCGAAATGTTAAAGGAGTTTTCTATGGACGATCATAAGAGCCGAACTAGGGAATTTTTTATAGAAGTCGTATAGTTCTTATAGCTGTCTTAAAAAACTCTCTCTTATATTGCGCCTTTAAAATAATTTGTAAAAAATACAGGCCACAGTTATGCAAAAATCTTCACGAAATTTTGCATGTTGTTTTGGTTCTACAAAAATATTGTTTTTGATAAAGTTCGGTTAATATTTAGGGGATGAAATAGATCAAAAACTTTATTTTTGTCCAATTTTCTGATCGCTCCAGAGGCCGAATTTTCACATGGAAAAGGGGGTCGGGCCACAGAATAAGCACGCCTGTTTTTATAAAGATCGGTCAATATTTAGCGGGCCAAATGGACCCTGATTTTTGTGTGTTAGGTGATGATCAAATAATATTTTATCGGATGAAGTGGACCGAAAACTTAATTATTTGTACTTTTCGAAGAAGGGAATCTGAACAAGTAAGTAGAGGGGCTGTACTGATTATTAGTAACATTTTCTGACCTCTAGCCAGACAAAAGTGTGAAAATATCGTGAAATATTGCCCAATCTCAGAATATAAAACCACAGAAAGTTAGATTTTCATTGAAGTTGTGTAGTTCCTATAGCTAAATAATCTGATGGTCTATATCTAGGATCTTAAGGTCCGCTCACTGTTTTTTTCTATGGATGATCTTAAGAGCCTCGTACATTATATACCGGCTAATGTTTCTATATACGAGAATATAACACTTCGAAAGGGCTTTTATGGACATATGTCCTCCCAAAAGACATTTCAAAGACAAAATATTTACTAGGAAGATATGACAAATCTATTATCTGGACTAGGTCGAAAAAAAACATCAGTTGAGAACAGGATATTTCAAAAGCCTCAATAAACCTAAAATTAATTAAAATTAAAATTATGGGCAAATGACCCTCAATGATTTAGAGTTGGTATTTTTTTTTTTTTTTTTTTTCAATACCCAGTAGTTCGAGTAACTGGTGATGAACCAGATATTTTACTAATTACATGTAAGTACCACTAGTTACCACTTCATGCCCTAGACTGGTGAATTTAACATGTGTATGTCATTGGGGAAGTCAATTATCCCCTGCCTGCGTTACCAGTATACAGTCATTTCGATAGTCAATTCATTACCCTTTGCATTACCAGTAACTACTGAATTGGTATGATGTGTGTAAACAACTTTTTCAGTTGACAAAAAAATCCAACAGTCTATTTTGTGTTCCTTTTTGGGGTATGAAGTAACTAGATCACCAAGTAACTAGCTATATAACTATATAATAACAGACAATTGATATTTTTTGTACAACTGGGTATAGTCAGGCTGAATCCCAGTTTGTTTTTTTTTATAAAAAACAACTATTTATTAGTGGGGAATGTATGATATTGTTTTCAGGGGTAATCAAAGGAAGACTATTTTCCTATCACGCCACTGATCCTATCAGTTCCCTTAGTTTTTTGTTGGGATATTCTCCCCAGAAGCTATTGTTTCTATACAAAAAACCTTTCATACCCAAATGACTCTTGTAACAAAGCGAAGTACTTAGCTGACCAACAAAATAAACTGCATGCGAATTTCGCTGGTGCCTCACTTCAAGGTTAACAAGGCATTTACAAACAATATCATACCTTTCCCACTGAGTGAAAAGGGATGCCGTTGCATTTCATCTGGAGCCGGGCGGAAATATATTTTATACAAATATTCGTAAAAACCTCTATGAAAGCCTGTTGAAAATACGATATAGCTTGAAATATTTAAGGTTGAAACGGGGTATTTTTCTACTAAAAATTATGGACTGATTGTCTTTCAAAGGACCTTCAATGATTTAGTGTTGGCCATTTTCCTCTGAGTGGTCTTATCTCCCGGCATTCCGCAGGTGTTGATGTTGATGTCGATTATCAAAAGGGCTGCAGTTGTACTTCATCTGGAGCTGGGCGTACGCATATTTTTACAAATATTCGTAAAAACATCTTTGAAAGCCTGTTGAAATTACTATAAAGCTCGCAATATTTAAGACAGAAATGGGATATATCGCTCCACATATTGGTATAGTTCCCAAATAATTTAGTACTTTGAGTTTTTATTGGGTTGCAAATCCATTTTTAAGGAGAGTCTCCATATAAAGGTGCCTTTATGTTCGGTATTTTGGGGAGTTTTGGAAAGTTTTTTTTTCAACCAAATTGGCTAAAATCTATTATTCTGATTTTTCATTGGTTAGCAAAACAGTTATGGACCAATCTTCACGAAATTTTGCATGTAGGAAGGGTTCAGTCCAATGAAGACCCCTATTGTTTTTGAAGAACATCGGTTAATATTTAGGGGATGAAATGGACCAAAAACTTTATTTTTTTCGGTTTTTCTGGTCGCTCCAGAGGCCGCAATTGTAGCCCGAACATCGCGAAATTTTACATGGAGAAGGAGGTCGGGCCAAGGAACAAGCGTGCCAGTTTTGATAAAGATTGGCCAATATTTGGCGGGTCAAATGGACCATGACTTTTGTGAGAAAAATTACAAAATTTGTATTCTTTGGCGTATATATTTACTCCTGAAGGACATAGACCCGAGAGGTTGATAGCATATCCAAGAGGAGTTGGTAACCTTTACATTGATGCCAATTATATTGTCGTATGTGCTCGGATGTGGGAGTTACACTTAAATATTTACGGGAGTTCAAATATTCAGACATTATTTAGTAACCCATTACTCCACTAGAGGGCGGAAATATAGCGCTGATCACTTTGAAATTTTCCATGAGGATGCAGGCATGGTCAAGGACAACGCCTATAAATTTCAAGTATGATCAGATAATAGTTTTGGGATGAATTGGACCGAAAACTTAATTTGTTTATGTTTTCGAGACGATTGAAAGCCGAACATCACACGGTGAAGGAAATCTGGACAAGTAATTAGAAGGGGTGAACTGAATATTAGTAATATTTGTTAACCTCTATGAAATTGAAGTTTTCTATGAGGATCCAGGTATGGTCATGGTCAACGCCTATAATTTTCGGTGATGATCAGATAATAATATTAGGATGAAGTGACCCGAAAACTTAATATTTTGTGTTTCTTTATGAGTCGATTCATAGGTCACTATTGAAAGCCGAACATCACAACACAATCCACGGTGAAGGGGATCTGGACAAGTAATTAGAAGAGCTGTACTGAATATTTGTAGAAGTCTAGTCGGTCAAGAGGGTGCAAATACCGCGAAATATTGCCCAAGTTCAGAATATAGAACCACACAATGTTCGATTTTCGTGGAAGTTGTGTAGGGTATCATATGGTCGGCCCCGTCCGACTATACTGCTCCGCTCACTGGTTTTGTACATACTATATCCCTATTCCTTGGATTTTAGGTATTCACAATGGGATATATCGATCCACGTTTTTGGCATAGCCTTCATCTAATAATACCTTCCAATACCCAATATTTGGGGCACGAATTGGCAAAGATTTGGTATTTTGGGTTCTCATTCGGTAGAAAAAAAAACACATATTTGCCCACTTTTTTAGGGTGGCCCCCAAAAATTTCAAAATTTTGGGAAGTTTTTTCAATCAAATTGGCTGTAATTTTATATTTTTGATCCCTCTTGGTTAGAAAATCTCCATACCAAAAATATCAATGTTGACTCATGTTTTAGGGTTGATCCCATTTTTTAACCCGATTGGCTGTAATGTTATATTTTCTAGTTCCATTGTTCCATAAAAGTCTCTGGGTAGGTCCCATATTGCTGGATTTTATTATTATTTGGTATTTTAAAGACTTTTTCAAAAATCTCAATTCTGGTATGATCAAGGTCCTAGCCCAACCATTGGCATTTAGTTCTCTTCTGGAATCCCCAACCGATTTCAAGTATTTTAAAGTTTCACCTCATAAAAATTCGATCCGGCCTAACTTAACGACATTTTGACTTGTTTCTCTTCGAAGAATATCAACATTAAATTCTACTTACACTCTCTGCAAAATATGGCTCTATATAATATTAATTAAATTTCCCAAAATTGACTGTAATAACTCCGAAAGTTGTCAACAAATATTTAAATTTGTATTTTCATTAGAATACAAATTTCTCTCTAATCGAAAGTTTCTAATTAGAATTTTTAGAAATTAATTTGATTCTAACCAAAGGCTATTGCAAAATTAAATTTCCAATAATGCGTGCGATAACATAACAAAATTCAATTCTAGATGAGGAAATT